AAAAAAAAAAAAAAAACGAAAAAAGAAATGCCTTCAGGGATCCCTCTGCACGTCTGTGGAAGCCAAGGGGTAGTTTCCAAGTCTCGCAGCACTGCCTGGCCAGAACGGGCTCCCAACTCAAGAAAAGGAAAAGAAACCGAACAAACAATTCAAAACAAACAAACGAACAAAAGCCCCGGGATCCCACCAGCGCGGCATCCCAGACCGGGAAGCAGCTGCACACTCCAGCGGAGCTCCGCAGCCTCTCAGGAAGAAGCAAAGGTGGCGCACGGAGCCAGGTGTTTGAGCGAAAGGAGGAGAATGTGTTGAGAGGTAAGGAAGAAACCAAAAGAAGTGGAAAAAAAGCAACACGAGCAGCCAACAAATGACACTCAGAGAGCCAGCTAGTGTGGGCTGGTGGAATCTAAGCAGCCGGTGTTTCCTGGACAAGAGACTGTGTCCGCAGGAAGCAGAGGAGGCTGAGTGTGGGTGAAGAAGGGTAGGGGGTAGGAAAGCATATATCACAAATTACCAGAGCCCTGCAGCCCCTCAGGAAGAAGCGAAGATGGCGCACGGAGCCCGGTATTTGAGCGAAAGGAGCGGGAGGTGGTGAGAGGTAAGGAAGAAATCAAAAGAAGCGGAAAAAAGCAAGACCAGCAGCCAACAAATGGCACTCGGAGAGCTGGCCTGTTCGGGTGGTTGGAATCCAAGCAGCCAGTGCTTCCTGGACAAGAGATTGTGGCCACGGGAAGCAGAGGAGCCTGAGTGGGGGTGAAGAAAGGTGGGGGGTGGGGAAGCGTATATTGCAAATTACCAGTTGTTTTGTCTCCTGCTGGAAGCTCCATGAAGCTGCTTTCTCGTATCCCCTGTTTGCTGGTCTCCGATAGGAGTTCAAGATGGTGGATCCACGCTGCGTTAGCTGATAGGGGACCTCTGCATGAATCTCTCCTCGCTCTCCATTTTCTGTCAGTTTTCTCACTCCATTTGGTGCTTGGCTGAGTTCTTTATCTCTTCATTTGATGTTTTAGGGTTTTAGGATTGTTGTTTTCTGTTCGGCTTAGTTTTTCAGATCTTTGCTGTGGAGGGATGGCGTGGTGCTTCTGCCTAGAGCGCCATTTTGCCGGAAGTCAGTAGCTTCAGATTTAATATTTTTGTTTAATTAAGGTTTCTGTGATTTTGTAGCAATATTTTTTGACTTGCCCTCATTAAGTGAACTGAAGTGAAATGCTTTTTTTTTAGATTGTGGTAAATATACATGTAACAAAACGTTCGCCATTTCAACATTCCTCACATGTATGATTCAGTGATACCAACTGTGTTCTTTGTGTTGTGCAACCATCACTACCACCTGTTTCCATATTTTTCTGTCACCCTTTAAACAGAAGCTCAGTGTCCCCTAAGCAATGAGTTCCCCTTCTCCCCTCCCTCCCAACACTGGTAACCACTAATAAACTTAGGTTTGTATGTATACACTTGCCTATTCTAGATATTCCGTATAAGTGGAATCATACAAGACCTGTCCTTTTGTGACTGACTTATTTCACTCATTGTCTTACTCTTTGAAACCCAGGAGGCTGAGGCCCACCCTTTGAGACCCAAGAGACCATGTCCCCACCCTTTGAAACTGAGAAGGCCCTGTTTCCCATGCTCCTTCCAACAGTTCTGCTAATCTCCAAGCTGCTCCCAAGGATGGTCCTTCTCTTTTCTTGGAGGACAACAGATGTAGCTCCTTTGGCCTGTTTCCTGCCTGTGAAATTCCAAGAGGTAGACAGCGTTCTTTCCTTTCATCTTTCTCTGTCCCATTCAGTCTAAGATGGGTTTTCTGCTGTGGTAGTTGGTTAGATCCATCAGTCACAGGCTTAATCTCTTTAACAAACGATTGTGTAGCTGCGTCCTTGGTGCACATTCTAGGACACATGTCCTTAGTTTGTGCAATAGAATTTTGTAAATCTTTAAGTTCTGTTTTCATTTTGGTCAGTTCATTTTTAAGTCCATCTCTTTCACATTTTACTATAAGCAGCAAGGAGAAACCACGCGGCCCCTTTAAGATTTTGCTTAGAAATCTCATCAGCCAGATATCTAAGTCCATCACTTACAAGTTCTACCTTCCACCAGACATTTGGCCATAATTCAGACAAGTTCTTTGCCACACATAAAAAGCATTGCCCATCCTCAGTTGTCCAATCACATGTTCATCATTTTCTTTTAAAGCCTCACCGGAAGCACATTTAACGTCCATGTTTCTAGCAGTGTTCTGTTGCTGGCACCATATGTATTCTCTAAGACAATAGAGACTTTCTCAATAGCTCTCCTTACTTCCTTCTGAGCCCTCAGCAGAATTGCCTTTGATGTACATAATTCTACCAACAGTCTCTTCAAGGCAATTTAGGCTTTTACTATTAGGCACGTTAAAACTCTTCCAACCTCTACCCATTACCCAATTCCAAAACTGCTTCCACATTTTAGGTATCTGTTAGAGCAGCACCCCACTCTTCTGGTAACAAATTCTGTCTTAGTTATCTAGTGCTGCTATAACAGAAATACCACAAGTAGATGCTTTAACAAACAAAAATTTATTTTCTCACAGTTTTGCAAGCTAGACGTTCGAATTTATAGAGTGCCTGCTCTGGGGGAAGGCTTTCTCTGTCTGTCACTCTGGAGGAAGGTCCTTGTCTATTCAGCTTCTTAGTTCCTTGGAGATCTCCATGTGTCTTGGCATCTATCTAACTCCATCTTTCCTCTGCTTAACTTGTTTAATCTCTTTTTGTATTTCAAAAGAGATTGACTCAAGACATGCCACATGCTAATCCTGCCTCATTAACATAACAAAGACAACCCATTCCCAAATTTGATTATAACCACAGGCATAGAGGTTAGGTTTTATAACACATATTTTTGGGGGACATAATTGAATCCATAACACTCAGTATGAAGTTCTCAAGTTTCACCCAGGTGAAATGCTTTTTAAAATTAAATTTTTTTCTGTTTTGAATTAGAACATTTAACTACTATCTAGTATATTACACATTAGGAGCCCTGGTGGCATAATGGTTAAGTGCTCGTTCGATAACCAAAAGATTGATGGTTTGAACCTATCCAGCTGCTTTTTGGGAGAAAGACCTGGGGATCGGCTTCCGTAAGATTACAGCTTAGAAAACCCTATGGGGCAGTTCTGCCCTGTCACATGGGGTTGCTGTAAGTCGAAAATCGATTTGACGGCACCTAACAACAACAAATGTTAAACACATTATAGTTGGTCTGATTCCTGACAATTCATATGTGGGCACAAACTGGTTCAACACAGCTGAAGTCCTTATTTTAAAGTACTAAGTTCAAAGTACAGGTAGTTACTGGAATTTTTAATTTATTCTTGTTTATATTAGAAGTTGAAAAGATCAGGATCCAGATTTTATTTTTATTAATTCAAACTTTTGTTGTAGGATGCACAAGAATTTTCAAAGCTCTTTATGTCTCTATTGGAAGACACGTTGTCTAAACAAAAGAATCCAGATGTCCGCAACATTGTCCAACAGCAGTTCTGTGGGGAGTATGCTTATGTAACAGTGTAAGTCTATTTCAGCTTTTTCATGGTTACATTTTATTCTAAGACAATGGCTCATGTTATCTAGTTTTTGGTTGAGCTCTAAGTCATAGCTTTAGTGGGCTATCCTGGGACGTGAAGTATTTATAGTAATAACTTTCTATGGGAACCTGTAAACAACTGACGTGATAATTGCAGTTGATCTCATTCAGGTGTTGGGAACTGAGTCTGGTTGAGCTCTTGCCATTTACTTTATGTCTCTGTGGTATGAGCTGAAAGAATAAAATTGGAACTGGCTAGCATCATGGAATATTAAAAATAAATGTAAAATAACTTAAAAAATGGAGAATTTTATTTCCTAATCATAAAATACATGGTTGGCCTCACCAATCACTTTGTGTTTTACTTATTTTTTAGTGTACATAGTATAAATAATTTCTCTGAAAGAGACCTAAGGTTATAAATGCTTCCTTTCATGTTTCTAGAATGTAATAGAACTTTATTGATTTTTTTTTTTTTTTGCCCTCTCTGATCTTAATTTTATCACTTTAATTTCTATAGTTGCAATCAGTGTGGCAGAGAGTCTAAGCTTTTATCAAAGTTTTATGAACTGGAATTAAATATCCAAGGCCACAAACAGCTAACAGATTGTATCTCGGAATTTTTGAAGGTATTCAATTTTTGGTGTATAAGTTGTTTCTGCTCATTAACAGCTAAATGCTATTCTGAATGGTATTTTTATTTAGTGGAAAGACGCATTATTCCAGCTTTTTCTACTTACGAACTATCTCTGTTTATGTAATGATCTTGGAAAAACTTAGAAGTATTGAATTATAAATTATTTGAAGCAGGCTGCACCTTAAAATAATTTTGGGTTATTTCAAATTTTATATGCAAATTTATGTATCTGAAAACTTATATGACTGTGTGATTGGGATAGTTGAGTGTTTAAGGAAATCTAAGCTCTGTTATCATAAGGTTAATTTACCTTTTCATTTAATGAGAGCTAGAATGTGTTCCGTGCAAATATTTTCTACATCAATATGGTCATTCTTCAGTCCCTCCACTCCATATTTCTACACTCTGTACATTTCAATATATATACTAGTGTAGAAGGGTTCTCTTTTGTTCTAAGTGGTAAAGCTGCTAAGAGGAAACCTTTGTTACCAAGCATGAGCTGACACATAGTATAATAGATGGTCGTCTTATACAGCTTCCTTTCTTAAAATATTTTTGTACATTTCCTACTCTTCTAGCACATCCATTAGCGTGCCTGAATAGTCATTTATTGAATGCATTCAGCTAAATATTTATTGAATGCTTACTATGTGTCAAGCATTATTTCAGCTTTTGGTGATAACAGTAATGAACAAAATAGACAAAAAAAAATTTTGCCTTTGTGGAGCTTATAGTGTGGTGTGGGGCCAAGGAAGGACAGTAAAATAAATATAAATGAAACATATAGTATGTTAAATATAATAAGTGCTGTGGAGAAAAACGAAGCAGAGAAAGGACATGGGGAATGTGGTAGAGATGAGAATGAATGAAGTTGGTTGCAATTTGATATAAAACGATTGGGGGTGAAGAAGTGAGCCATGCAAGAATCAGGGAGATGAGCATTCTGGGCAGATGAAATAGTAAGTGCAAAGCCTGAGACGAGTGTGCCTGGTGATTTCAGGAACAGCCAGGAGGTCAGTGTGGCTTTAAACGAATAAGCAAGGGCAGATTGGTAGAAGATGAAGTTGTAGAGTCAACTAAAGGCCATATTAAAACAAAACAAAACAAAAAACTCTTGGCATAGAGTCTATTCTGACTCATAGTGGCCCTTTACGACAGAGTAGAACTGCCCATAGGGTTTCCAAGAAGCCAGCTGGTAGACTGGAACTTCTGACCTTTTGGTTAGCAGGTGTAGCTTTTAATCTCTGCACTACTAGAGCTCCAAAGGCCATAGGCCTTATAAATCATTATTACAACTTTGACTTTTACTGTGAGTGAGATGAAATGTCATTGGAGGATTGTGAGCATAGAATTGATAGGATCTGTTTTAACAGGACAGCTCTGGGTGCTGTCTTGAGAATAGGCTGAAGGTAGGGCAAGGGCAATCGATGGTAGCTGGGACCAAGGGTTAGCTGAAGAGGGCTGAAGAGGTGATAAACAGTGTTCAGATTCTAGATATATTTTAAAAGTAGAGCTGATAAAATTTGCTGAGTGAGTGTGGTGTGTGAGAGAAGGAGAGGAGTCAAGGATGACTGAGGTTTTTGGCCTGACCAATTGGGAGATGAAGTTGTCATACTCAAAGGGAGAGAGGGGACTGTGGAGAGTTTTTGGACATGTTACTTTTGAGAGATGTAGTTCAGGGGAGAAGTCAGGGCTGGAAATTGCCAAAGGAGTGAGAGAGATGAGGACCAGGGACTGAGCCCTGGGATGTTCAAATGTTAAGAGATCAGGGAGATAGGAACAGCTGGCAAAGGGTGCAGAGGAGAAATGCCAGTGATCTACAAGGAAAACAGAAGAGTGTGGTATTCTGGAAAGTGAAGACAATGATGTTGCCAGTATTGTTTTACTTACAGTAATCTGTATCACAGGCTGTTACGGAAATATAAAGGGCAATTTTTAAAAAGAAAAGAAACTACTATCAGCTGTAACATTTTATTTTTCTCCATTCCTTTTTTAGCTTTGTTTCATGAATGTGGCTCAGTAATTTTAACCAAGTCTATATATGTATAATGTTGTATTCTGTTGCCCATATGTAGTTTCTACCCATTTTTTACTGTTCTTAAATTAATTTGGCATTAAAGTACATATGACTTTTTTTTAAACTACTTCTTAGATTTCCCAGAAGTGGGATTATCCGGACAAAGGACACAAAACAAGTATTTTTAAAGTCATACAGTTTGGAAAAAGGCACATCAATTTTTAAATATCATTGTATATACAAATTAATAATGTCACTGCTAAGTAGTGCCTGCTAATTCTGTGTGTCCTTCATTATTTATAGCAGCTTGATTTTAAACGGCTTGAATGGATGCTGTTAAAGTGGAATTTTACATCAGAGATTTTATCACTTGTTTTAAATCTTTCCATTTTCTTTTCTTTTTAAACTAACATGTCTTATTCCTGATCAGGAAGAAAAATTAGAAGGAGACAATCGATACTTTTGTGAAAACTGTCAAAGCAAACAGAATGCAACAAGAAAGATTCGACTACTTAGCCTTCCTTGCACTCTGAACTTGCAGCTAATGCGTTTTGTCTTTGACAGGTAAATATGTGCAAGTAGAGTGTTCTTTGTTCATTGTGAACTAGTATGTACTGATTTTACCATAGACATACAGGATAGCAAGATGCTTATAATATGAAAGTCTGGACTTGTGAATGAAAGTTACAGGCCGAGTCTGTCATTTGAGATGCCAGTATTTCATGATTTTTATTGCAGAATTCTTAAACAAGCCAGCCATATATATAATTGAGAATTTTAAAAATAGGAAGTCTTTATTTTTAATTTTAAGAAATTATTAAAAACAAAGGAAAAGCAGACATTTAGGTAGGAACAGAAATACCTTCAGACATCCTAAGTTGTTATATATTTTAAGTAAATTTTCTACTCTTTACAATAACACCCCTCCTGCCCCTATAGGAATATATGTCTCATTTTATAATTAAAGTCTAGCCAATACTTGTACATGTACATGTCTTCTATAAAAAAGGAACTCCTGTGTTTTGTGATTACATTGAAACTTCTGGAATTAAGTATTAAATTTGGACTCATCACCTTTAATTCATACCTTTAACCTATTGGTTAGTATTTACCCAATTATAAAACCATATTATGTTTACTTTTAGTTTTATGGGGTTTTGAGCAAGATTACTAAATGAAATGTACCTAGCTCCTGTTGAGTTTATTAAAGTAACTGATAGAGCTTATACATTGTTGTTTAAAATATAAATGGTTGTTTAAAATATCAATATAATTAGCTTTCCTCTTGGTTAGGCAAACTGGACATAAGAAAAAACTGAATACCTACATTGGCTTCTCAGAAATTTTGGATATGGAGCCTTACGTGGAACATAAAGGTAATATTTATACCGAGCAGTGATAATTATAATGCTCAGAGACTATAACTTGTGATCTGCTTGTGATGACTGTAGAATAGCAATTTACTGCTAATTTTTTTAATGGGAACCCAGACTTTTTAGGTTAGCTGGGATGTAAGTTTGATTTTCTGTGACTAAGCACATAACAAAGATTCGATAGTTTATCAGTATCTACATAATTAAGGGTATAAAAAGAATAAAACCCGAAAAAGATAACTTGCTATCCCTGAACCCTCACTTGTCACCTTAGTCTTAATATCATATCAGTGATTCCTCATAAAAATTAAACATCTTCTAGCTACCTTGTTTGTTTCTCTCTTTATTTCTTTAATATTTTATCAGAAACATCAGGTGACATGATTTATATCTGTGACCACCGATATGTCCTAGGATGCTATATCGTGATCCCAAGACAGAATTCATGACCACTTTTTTCTTTTGGTAGTCTTCATTTTACCATACTGGATGGTTCTTGTTAGAGAAAACAAACGTCTTACTGTTTGGTTCTTTTGCACTGACCCGAAGGACTGTTAGACTTTCCAGTTAGGTTGATCTAAGGCTTGATGAAAATTTTAATGTAGAAATGATTATTTATTATTGTGCATGTTTTGTGTGTGTGTGGTGAAAATGTACACACGAAAACATTTACCAACCAGTGGCACTGATGACATTTTTTATGTTGTGCCACCTTTATTGCTATCCTTTCCCAAAATATCCTACCACCTTTAACATAAATTCAGTACCTTACAAACAAAACTCACCCTTTCCACCTCGCTCCTATCCCTGATAACCACAAATAATCTTTGGTTTCTATCTATTTGCTTATTTCAAACAAATGAGATCATACACTATTTGTCCTTTTGCGACTGACTGACTTCACTCAGCATAATATTTTAAAGGTTCATCCATGGTGTGGCGTGCATCAGAAGTTCATTTCTCTTTACGACTGTATAATATTCCATTGTATGTTTATCTGTTCATCTGTTGGTGGACATTTCAGTTGTTTCCACCTTTTGGCTGTTGTGAAAAGTGCTGCGATGAACATTAGTGTACAGGTTTCTGTTTTCATTCTTACCCTCATCTCTTCTGGGTATATACCTAGGATTGGAATTGCTGGGTGATATGGTAGTTCTCTGTTCAACTTTCTGAGGAACTGCCAAACTGTTTTCCACACTGGCTTTATCGTTTTACATTCCTACTAGCAATGGATGACAGTTCCAGTTTCTCCTCACCTAGCCAACACTTGTTATTTTCTGTTTTTTTGATTGCTGCCATTCTAATGGGGGTGAGGTGCTATCTCATTACATTTTTGATTTGCATCTCCTTAATGGCTAATGCCACCACTCGTCTGTCAGTTGGTCGTCCTGTGGTGGCTTGTGTGTTGCTGTGATGCAGGAAGCTATGCCACCGGTATTTCAGATAGCAGCAGGGTCACTCATAGTGGACAGGTTTCACTGGAGCTTCCAGATTAAGACAGACTGGGAAGAAGGGCCTGGCAGTCTACTTCTGAAAAAAATTGGCCAGTGAAAACCTTATAAATAACAGTGGAACATAGATATAGTGCCAGAAGATGAGCCCCTCAGGTTGGAAGACACTCAAAAGTCAACTAGGGAAGAGCTGCCTCCTCAAAATAGAGTTGACCTTAATGACGTGGATGGAGTCAAGCTTTCTGGACCTTCATTTGCTGATGTGGCAGGACCCAAAATGAGAAGAAAAGGCTATAAACATCCATTAGTAATTGGAACGTGGAATGTATGAAGTATGTATCTTGGAAAATTGGAAATGACATAAACGAAATACGGTGTGCATAAATGTTGATATCCTAGATATTAGTGAGCTGAAATGGACTGTTATTCAAATTTATATACCAACCACTAATGCCAGAGATAAAGAAGTTGAAGATTTTTACCAACTTCTGCAGTCTGAAATTGATCAAACATGGAAACAAGATGCATTGGTAATTACTGGTGATTGAAATGCAAAAATTGGAAACAAAGAAAAATCGGTATTTGGAAAATATGGCCTTGGTGATAGATATGACAGTGGAGATCGCGTGATAGGATTTTGCAAGGACAGCAACTTATTCATCTGAAATACCTTTCTTCAGCAACATAAACGGTGATTATCATATGGACCTCACTGGATGGAATGCACAGGAATCAAATCAACTACATCTGTGGAAAGAGACGATAGAGTAGCTCAATATCATCAGTGAGAGCAAGGCCAGGGGCTGACTGGAATGGGCTATCAATTGCTTGTATGCAAGTTCAAGTTGAAGCTGAATAAAATTAAAACAAGTCCACGAGAGCCAAAGTATGACCTTGAGTATATCCCACCTGAATTTAGAGACCATCTTGAATAGATTTGATGCGTTGAACATTGATGACTGAAGACCAGACGAGTTGTGGGATGACATCAAGGACATCATACATGAAGAAAAAAGGTCATTAAAAAGACAGGAAAGAAAGGAAAGACCAGGATGAATGTCAGAAGAGGCTCTGAAATTTGCTCTTGAATGTAGAGCAGCTAAAGTGAATGGAAGAAATGATGAAGTAAAGGAGCTGAACGGAAGATTTCAAAGGGTAGCTCAAGAAGACAAAGTAAAGCAACTTTCAGAGTCTCTTCTGACATCCATTTTGGTCTTTTCTTTCTTTCCTGTCTTTTTAATGGGCTTGTTATAATTTTCTTCAGCTTCAACTTGAACTTGCCTGTGAGCAGTTGATGGTCTGTTCTGCAGTCAGCCCCTAGCCTTATTCTGACTGATAATATTGAGCTTTTCCATCATCTTTTTCCACAGATGTAGTCAATTTGATTCCTGTGTATTCCATTCAGTGAGGTCCACATGTATAGTTGCCGTTTATGTTGTTGAAAAAAGGTATTTGCAATGAAGAAGTCGTTGGTTTTATGAAAATTCTGTCATGCGATCTCCAGCGTCATTTCAGTCACCAAGACCATATTTTCCAACTACCGATCCTTCTTCTCTGTTTCTAACTTTCGCATTCCAATCACCAGTAATTATCAATGCATCCTGATTGCATGTTCGATCAATTTCAGGCCACAGAAGTTCATAAAAATCCTCAATTTCTCCATCTTTAGCCTTAATGGTTGGTGAGTAAATTTGAATAATAGTCATACTAAGTGGTCTTTCTTGTAGATACATGGATATTATCCTATCACTGAGAGCATCTACTTCAGGATAGATCTTGCAGTGTTCTTTTTGACAATGAGTGCAACACCATCCATCTTCAGTTCATCATTTCTGGCATAGTAGACTATATGATTGTCTGATTCAAAATGGCCAATACCAGTCCATTTCAGCTCACTAATGCTTAAGATAAATATCTTAATCCATTTCATTTTTGACGATTTCCAATTTTCCTAGGTTCATACTTCATACACTACACATTCCGATTATTAATGGATGTTTGTAGCCTTTTCTTCTCATTTTGAGTTGTGCTGCATCAGCAAATGAAGGTCCAGAAAGCTTGACTCCATCCGCATCATTAAAGTTGACTCTACTTTGAGGAAGCAGCTCTTCCCCAGTCATCTTTTGATGAATCTGAGGACTTCATCTTCTGGCACTATATCAGACAATGTTCTGCTGCTATTCATAAGGTTTTCACTGGCCAATTTGTTCAGTAGTAGACCCCCAGGCCCTTCTTCCCAGTCTTTCTTAATCTGGAAGCTCTGGTGAAACCTGTCCTCCATAGGTGACCCTGCTGGTATTTGAATACCAGTGTCATAGTTTTCAGCATCACAGCAATACACAAGACCCCACAATAAGACAATGCATGGGAGATTCAGTCTGTATGCTGGGCAGATAATCCAAGAAGCTAGACTACATGAAGAAGAACTGGGCATCGGGATTGGAAGAAGACTCGTTAACCTATGTTATGCAGATTACACACCCTTGCTTGCTGAAAGTGATGAGGACTTGAAGCACTTACTGATGAAGATCAAAGACCACAGCCTTCAGTCTGGGTTACGCCTCAACATAAGAAAACAAAAACCCTCACAACTGGACCAATAAGCGACATCATGATAAATGGAGAAAAGATTGAAGTTGTCAAAGAGTTCATTTTACTTGGATCCACAGTCAACACCTATGGAAGCAGCAGTCAAGAAATCACAACGACATATTGCATTGGGCAAATCTGCTGCAAAAGAACTCTCTAAAGTGTTAAAAAGGAAAGATACTACTTTGAGGAGTAAGGTGCACCTGACCTAAGCCATGGTATTTTCAATCGTCTCATGCATGCAAAAGCTGGACAGTGAATAAGGAAGACTGAAGAAGAGTTGATGCCTTTGAGTTGTGGTATTGGCGAAGAATATTCAATTTATCATGGACTTCCAGAAGAATGAACAAATCTGTCTTGGAAGAAGTACTGACAGAATGCTCCTTAGAAGTGAAGATGGCAAGACTTCGTCTCAAGTACTTTGGGCATGTTATCAGGAGGGAGCAGTCCCTGGAGAAGGACATCATGCTTGGTAGAGGGTCAGTGAAAAAGAGGAGGACCCTCAAGGAGCTGTATTGACAAAAGTGGCTGAAAAAATGGGCTTAAAGTTAGCAACGATTGTGAGGATGGCGCTGTATTGGCAGTGTTTCGTTGTTTTGTACATAGGGTTACTATAAGTCACCTAAGAACAACAGTGACAGCTTACAAAAGAAACAAAGCAAGCCCTATAACAAAACCTTTAAGAGGTGGTTGAGAAGGTTCGGGAGGGATATGTTCAATAAATGCTGAAGCTATAAAATATATGATGCCGTATGTACTATGGTTTAAAATTTGCACCTCTGTGGAAGAAGGAAACTGCTGTAAACTTTGTTTTCTTTTGTCATTGTGGGCATTGGTTGAATTAATAAACTTCACTGTAGTCTACTTCATATGGTAATTTGCTCCCTGTCTCTTTAGCTGATTGTTTGAATATTAGGGAAATCTGATAGGCTAGTGGCTTCTCAGGGCCCAGAAACTTAGGGA